CAATTAACCTTTTCTGGACATGAAAGAAGGCAAGCTTTTCTCCAACCTCTTTTCAAAGAAAAGCAAGACTGGGCAGGGAGAATGGAGAGGTAATTGCTGTTTCCGGTCCTGGGTCCACACTCAGGTCCACACAACAAGCCTGGACCTGCACTCAGCTTGTTAAGTACTGTCAAGTTGGTTCTGACTCATAGCTAACCTGTATCGGGTTTTTAAGGACTTGGCGGTTTGCAGTCCAGTGCTTATCCTATAGCACCACACATAATCTCCGTTTGAGAAACCAGAATCAGATGTAAGCACAGGGTCCCTCTTCCTCACCAGTTTACGCAGGAGACCCTGGTGTGTGGGTGGAAAGGAGGAGGAGAAGGTAGAGTCTGGAATGGGAGGACGTGAGCTGTTGCTGAGTACCTTGTTAAGTGCCGTGGAGAGTGGATTCCAACTCATAGCAACCCTACATAGGGTTTCTGGGAACCTGGGGATTTCCTGGAACAGAAACAAACTCAGATAGGATCCCCCAAACCTGCCTGGGCCCCAGTAAGGGTCCAGCGGCTTTACTCCCTGTCTCAGTGTGACTATACAAGGGAGCTTCAAAAAGTTCATGGACAGATTCTGTGATTTTAAATGTTAATTTCCCCACTTTTGGAAGTCCCTTTGTCTTATTAGTTAGTTGCCATCAAGTCAATTCCAGTTCATGGCCCCCCACTCCACCCCATGTGTGCCAGATAGAACTATGCTCCACTGGGTTTTCAATGGCTGATGTTTTGGAAGTAGATCGATAGGGCTTCCTTTCAAGGTACCTCTGGGTGGACACAAGCTGCCAGCCTTTTAGCTGGAACTCTGAGGTGGCCACCTGCAGGGTCCAGGGCTGACAAATGCTTCCAGGTTACCTGGGGCAGTCAGGAGGGGAGTCTGGGTTGGGGAGGATGGGCAGTTGAATTCTGAGGGGGTGGCATGAGGCTCATGTGAGTTAGTGCAAATTCGGTTGTTCAGCTTCACGGCAGGACTGGCCGGGAGGGCATCTAGACAGGGATGAACTCTGAGAGGTACAGTTTCTCCTCAGACAAGTAATGAAGAGGCTCTGGAATGCTGTCCCCTTTGGGGTCCTGGGAAGAGGATTCCTCTTCCTCTGAAGTCTGTAAATGCAACAGTGAAGGGTTAAAAGTAAAGTCCGGTTGGGAGGGTCCACCTAGCTTTTCCCATAAGACCCAGGCCTCTGTCCACTTAACAACTTCTTCTTCTCCTTGGGATCCCAGGCTTTGCTTCACCCCTCCCTCTCACTCTACCAATCCTTATCACCTTAGGTTCTGGCTGCTGATATGGGAATCCTGCCAACTCAGAGTATTTTAAGCCCAGGTTTCCAACAAGTGATTCCATAATTTTCTGAACAGGGCCAAAGGTGATGTGAAGTGGAACAGAGGTTGGAGACTGGATGTGGAGGAAAGAACCCTCCCCCTCCCCCTTCCCCACATTGTCAGACTTGAGTTGGGGAAGTAAGCCCTTTTGTTCACACCTGGTTTAGGCACTGGAGCTCTGTGTTAGGGAGCTCAGAGGGCTTGTGGCTGGCACAAGGGTCAGCAAGTTTGACCACGGCATACTCCGGGATGCAGCCAGGCTCCTGTAACAGAGACACCATCAGGCCAGACTGTCCTTGGCAGCGGATGAATTGCAAGAAGAAAGGGACGAGGGACAGGTGGGGAAGGGTGGGTGAGGCAGAGAACATGGTGGTGGAATCAGAATCCTTGGTCCCAATCCTGGTTTTACCATTTCCTATGTCTCTGTGGGGTTGTAGGATAAGCACTTGACTACTAACTGAAAGGTCAGTGGTTCAAACCCACCAGCCACTCCTCAGAAACCTTATACAGGGTCATTTTGAGTTGGAACCAATTTGATAACACTTAAGGTTACACATCTCTGTGTAACCTTGGGTTACGCATCTAATCTCTCTGAAGTTTAGTTTCCTCAGCTGTAAAATGGAAATGATTTTCCCCTTAGAGTTACAATAATGATTGATATTAATGTCTTATCACTCAATAAATGGGAACTCCTGGAAGATTTATTTGTCTCAATATTGTTATTTTGGTTCTTTAAGTGGAGGTCCCTGGGTGGTGCAGAGAGCTAAGCACTTGACTATTAGCTGAAAGGTTGGTGGTTCTAATCCTTCCAGAAGTATCTTGGAAGACAGGCCTGGCCATCTGCTTCTGAAAAGTCACAGCCTTGGGAAGTCTACTCCGCAAACTTGGGGTCTCATGAGTCAGCATCGATTCAGTGACAGCTTACAACAGCAATCCTTTAAGCAGAAAGAGCCTGAAGGCTGTACCTTTGAATTGGCCCAGAGACAGCAAAGATTCACTGAATAACAGCGTAGGAAGGATTCTTAAGAGATCAGTAATCACTGGGGAGGCTTACTAATTGCTAAATTCCTGCGGAGATGACTTGGTATCACACTTTATTGAGTACATGGGACCTGGGATTGAGCTCAGAAGAGGAGGAGGCTTCAAATACACATAACGGAAGGCATACGGGAATTCAGAGCTGTGGCAGAGAGCTGCAATGAGGAGGAGGAGGTATTTGTAACAGAAAGAACTGAGCAGTTGGAGGAGGAAGAAAAAGAGGCGGAGTTTGAGATTGAAGAGACTGAGAAGGAAGAAGAGACAGAAGGTGACCAGCTGAGGAGCAGATGGATGATTAAAAGTCAAATGTAATACATTCTGAAAGGCATGTCGACAACTTGAATGGAAGAGAATATTTACAGATGATCATTTCAGGAAGATTTCCTTAGTTTTTTCCCAAATTAGATTTCAATTATTATTATAGAAACAAAGAATTTATAAGTAAACTACAATAAAAATACAAAGCAATTAGAGTATGATAGTATATCATTCTGAGTTTATGTTAACCATTTTTAAATAGCTGTAGGACAGAAACTAAAAATAGTTCAAAGTTTGCTAATGATTGCATTTGAATTTATTTGATAGTTTCTGGCATTTGATAGTTCGCATTTGTTTTTTTCTCTGTCATCTAATGAGAGAGGTCACGGAAAGTTGTTGGCATCTCTACCAGGGCGATTTCCATGGGCCTATGTTCGAAACTACCAGCCGCTCCGCGGGAGAAAGATGAGGCTTTCTACTCCTGTAAAGATTTACACCCTTGGAAACCCTGTACAGGGTCGCTATGGGTCGGAATCGACTCGACGGCACTTCACAATCACAAAATCAAAATGTTGAACCAAATTGGAGGCAATCAGATTTACTTCTTCATGAAAGTGAGCATATTCTCTGTGAAGGGGTGAATAATCAAAATATTTGAATGGCTGAGCAGAAAAAACTATTTTGTTGGCTATAACTTTTAATGTGAGGAATGATGGCATTCAAGACCCTTCTGTTGACACCTCCCCACCTTTGAGTTCCTGGTGTTTTTCTGTAACTCACAGACAGTTTCATAATAAACCAAGGGATTAAGTGGGTAAACTAGCAATGTGACCCTATTTGTACCTGGATTGTGGGGCAATTCATACCATGGTGGTTACTCCAGAAAAGACAGTGGTTAGTTCTTGATGTTCCTATATCTTTCCTAGGTACAATTTCCTAAATATCTGAAGAGTTGTAAAGAGTGAAATTCTGCAGGATGGTTTTACCTGTTCCATGCCATTTTATAAGGAAAAATATATTGAAGCATAATGATCCCAAAAAGGTTTTATCTACTACTGTAGAGGACTTCTGAGCTGTCTTTTGACTCTAAGGAACTATGATTCTAGAGACGTGAGGTTCAATTGAAGTGGTCTCCGATGAGCAGGTGGGCATTAACATATGAACAAGGAAATTAACCTACGAACAAAAAAATCAGTTGAGGCCGCATAAAGTCTTAAAAAAGAAAAAAAGGTTTTGTCAATAAAAAAATACATATGTAGGCTATCGTAATTATTTTTTAAAAGAAAACTAGATCATTAGCTTGAGGAGTTCCATGTTTTGAATGAGGAAACTGAGGCCCGGGGAGGAGAGACAGACAGAGAAGCCCACCTTCTGACTAGATCTGGCTGCTCCCATGTGCCCTCAGGTCAGGAACTAAGGGCCATCTATACCACCTTCCCTTGTCCTGTCAGGTGGACAACTGCTTTGGAGCAGAGGCTGGAGCTGGCTAAATCCCCTAGCAGAGCCTGTCTCCATGGACAGATGAGTGCTAAAACCAAAAGAAGCAGTTTTCCATCACTAGGCACCCACAGATGATGTGAGTTGGGGAAACCAAAGCTCAGTGAGGCAGTGTAACTTGCTTGAAGTCACACAGCTGCCAAGTGGCCTAACTGGGCTTTGTACTCACATCCCCAGACCCAAGCTCTTTCCCTACCATGCAGCCATCTGGCAGGACAGCCACACTTTTCTCTTTGTCTCAATTGTGTTCCTTGTCTACTACCTGGGGCCTCTACCTCCATCAAAAGCCCAGCTGAAGCGCTGAGACAGAGGTGGATATTGGAGCTGTCTCAGGTGACACTTTTAACCTCACAGGGACAAGGTAAGAATCCATCCAGGATTCTTTCCGTGAGATATGATTTGGGGAATGAGGGGTTGGGGAAGGAGAGTTCACAAATGCTGTGTGTCTCTCGTGGCCCTTGTCTCTCCCAGCCCTGCCCATCTAGGGGAGGGCAGAGGGGACCTTGGTGCATGGCAAAGCTACAGCTACACTAGAAGACTCCTGAAGTCAGAGTCAATTCTCACAAGTCCCATGTCCACAGTTTTGTGATTCGGTCACAACCCAGCCACTACTGATTGCTGACCACCACCAGCAGCAGAAATGTCACCCTAGTGACCAGGTTTGAGGAAAGAACATCACAGGCAGACACCAAACCTTAAAGTAGGCCATGGCGAGGACCACGTATAACCGTGTGTCCAGTGCAGTTGCAGTCCCTTTGTGCCTTGCCCATCCTGAACATCCTGCCCTGTTCCTGCAAGCGTGGTGGCATTTTCTCTGTACAGAAGGGACCCCTCCTCTGGGCTGTTGAATATATAAGCCATATATGGGAGCCTGTCTTTTGTGGTACTAGGAAAATAGCAGCAAAGAAGCAGGGAATGCCTATCTGACCCACACCCCAATTGGATCATTGTTTTCCCACAAGTTAGTCATGGCCTTTGTACTTCTTCCCACATTCATGGGCTACGAACTGATCTCCTCCCTGAGTCTGGGGAAGGCTGTAGGCTTTGTGTCGTAATTTATACCCCTCATACTTCAGCATGAGTGCTGGTGTGGTGCTGTGGGCTAAAGCTGTGGACTGAAGTGTCGGCTTGAACCGCAATGTTAGTGGTTCAGTCTCTCCAGCCGCTCCTCAGAAACCCTATACAGGATTGCTATGAGTCAAAACTGACCCTACGGCACTTAACAACAACAACATACTTCAATGTGGGGGTTGGTGGAAGAAGCACAGGGCTTTGCGGACAGCCCCACAGACCTCAATGAGTTTGCCGACTGCCTCTTTCTGGCAGGGTCACTTTCGGAAGTTACTTATCTTCTCTGAGCTTCTGTTTCCTCATTTCTAAAATGGAGGCAATAATAATGCTCATGTTGGAATCATGGAGATGCAATAATATGCGTCAAACCTCGGGTACGCACATATTCAATAAAAGGGGAAAGTGGATGAATGAATGGAGGCCAATCCTCCCAGCAAAACGAAGGATGGTTTCCAAGGAAGAAAAATGGTTCTCTGGCCTCGAACACTTTTCTCTTTTCATGCCTTTTTGGGGGGCTCTCTCAGGGCAAGTAGAGCTTCCCCTCCCTCTTTGTCCTGAATGTGAGCAATTCCATCTTCAGACTCTACTAAAAACTACAGGGATCCCAAAAGGGAAACAAATCAAGACAAAGTAGAAGCCTTCCATTGATCATGCATACAGGGTTCTCCTTTGCTTGCAGAAAGAGGACTTGAAGCCCTTACTGATGAAAATCAAAGACTACACCCTTCAGTATGGATTACACCTCAACATGAAGACAAAATCCTCACAACTGGACCAATAAGCAACATTATGACAAACAGAGAAAAGATTGAAGTTGTCAAGGATTTCATTTTACTTTGATCCACCGTCAATGCCCACAGAAGCAGCAGTCAAGAAATCAAAGGACAGACTACATTGGACAAATCTGCTATAAAAGGCCTCTTTAAAGGGTTAAAGAACAAAGATGTCACTTTGAGGACTAGGGTGTGCCTGACCTAGGCCATGGTTTTTTCAATCATCTAATATGCATGCAAATGCTAGACAATGAATAAGGACAGTGGAAGAAGAATTGATGCCTTTAAATTACGGTTTTTGTCAAAGAGTATTGAATATATGCCATAGAATGCCAGAAGAATGAACACATCTGTGCCGGAAGAAGTACAACCAGAATGCTTCTTAGAATCGAGGATGGAGAGACTTTGTCTCCAGTATTTTGCACATGATATCAGGAGGGACAAGTCTCTAGAGAAGGACATGATGCTGAGTCAGAGACGTGGAGGAAGACCCTCCATATGACGGAATGACACGGGGGCTGCCACAATGGGCTCAAATACAGCCGTGAGTGTGAGAAGGACGCAGGACCAAGCCGTGTTTTGTTTGGTTGTACGCAGGGTTCCAATGAGTTGGAACCGACTGGACAACACCTAACAACAACAACAACAACAACACAGGGCTTTGCTTCTGGAGCTTGGGAAACCACCTCCCACAGCTCCTCTGCCTGTTCCTGTCCCTTCCCACTTCTTCAGGGCAGGGACAGGTGCCTTAGAACAAGTAGGTACAAACAAGTCCCAGGCAGTCCCTCCCAGAGTGGACAGGGGTGGCAGGGCAGGAAGCCTGGTTGGCATAGGCCCCCTCTTAGCCTCCCCTCCACAGGACAGAGGATTCCCTCTCACCCCAACCCCTCTTCTGGAGCTGAGTGGGGGTGAGTCCCATGGCTCTGGGACTACCAGGCGGCGACCTTGCTCGTGGTTAGTGGTAGCTCCCTCCATCCACTCATGACTTTTCCCTCACTGCCTTCCTTCACCTTTGTCCTTGTGGAGCTTCCTGAGACAACAACAGCTGCTTCCTAAGCCAAGGCTGATACCTCCCTTCCCACCCCAACCTCTCCCCAGGGGCAGGGGTGATGATGGAGCCTGAGTCTTTTGTCCTCACTGGCGCCAGGAAAGCAGGGGCTAGCAGGCCCCCTTTCCTGCCCCCAGATTTGAGGGAACTGGTTTGGAAGAATTTCTATAAACAGCTGAGGGAAGAGGAGCTGGGGGTGGGGTGGGGTGAAGCCGGATGTTTCCTGAACTGTGATCCTGACACTTTCTCAGGATGCTGCCAGGGACCGACTCTTCTTGCAGGGGTCAGGGAAAGGCCCTGGAGGAGGTGACCTCTCCAGAAAGATGGGTGTAGAGATCCCCATTCTCTTGGTCACCTGTTTTCCCTCAGTGTGTACCCTATGGTATAGCCAAGGAAACACCTTGAAAACTGAGACAACACCTCAGGGTGTTTCTGAAAAAGGAGAGTTGAGAATCAGCAGATCTGGGTCCCATTCTCCATTTGGGTCACCACATGCTGTGTGACCTTGGGCAAGACGTTTACCCTCTCTGGGCCTCAGTTTCCTCTTCTGCAAAAACAAACTGGACTCTGTTATCACACTCTGAGGCGCTGGCAGAATTCCCTGGGACAATATTTAAAATACAGGTTCCTGGGCCCTGCCCCTAGAGGTTGGAGCTGGGGCCCAGAAAAGTGTGTTTCCAACAGCACCCCTGGATGTTCTGAGAGGGGGTTTGCATCAAACTAGAGAACCACGGGACTAGATGACCTCAAAGGTCCCCTCTGGGTCAGTTCTCTGATTGTATAAGGGGGCAGGAAGAGGGGCTGGGCCTGGGAAAGAAGACATTTGTACCACCCCCACCCCACCTCCTACCTGGCTCCTGGTGGGAAACCAGGGGTGTGGTGGGCACTGACTGTAGCCGGCTTAAATCTGGTGGGCTGATGATCGTTGAAGCAAGCTTGATCTCTAGGTCAGTTCAGAAACGGAGAACCCGGTGGGAAAACGGAGGCAGGACCCGTGAGTCCTGACTTCCAGGGCCAAGGGGATCTGAGCTTGGCCTTCAGCTTACCTCTTTCTTGGCCAACTGTGAGAGGTGGACCTGCTGGTTCTTCTCTGGCTCCATGGCCTCATGAGCTGAAAGAGACCCAGGAGAAGCCCATGACGTCAGGAGTAGCGAGGAGTAGCCTGCAACTGCTTTCAGAGAGGTGGGCCAGCCACCTTAAAAACAGGGGCCTTGCAGCGGGATTTGGTAGGACAAGGTGAACAGAGAAAGCCCTTCTAGCTCAGAGACCCTTGGCAATGATCCAGCCACTGAGGTCAGACCCATGGAGAGCTCTGGGAAAGGAATTCTGTACTTCTCACCCTTAATGTCCCTACCTGCTGCCATCGAATGGATTCCAACTCACAGAGATCCTAGAGGACAGAGTGGAACTGCCCTATGGGGTTTCTGAAGCTGTCATCTTTACAGAAGCAGGTTGCTACACCTCCCTCCCTAGTGGGTTGGAATCGCTCCCCTTTCAGTGAGCAGCCAACGCTTAACCATGACACCACCAGGGATCCCTAATGTGCACACAAGGCCCCTGGAAATATTAAAATGTGGATTCTAATCAGTCAGGTTGAGTTTGGGAGCATGAGAGTTTGCATTTCTAATAGGCTTCCAGGAGATGCCGCTGCTTGCTGGGGACCACAATTGAGATGCGAGATGCTAAGTGGCTCTGAAGTTGTGACAGGGAGTACTGACACCCTGGTGCTCCTCTAGACTCTCCTGTGGGGCCTGGGGAAGTAGGCAGAGCTGTTTGCTGTATAGGGGATAAAGCTGGAGCCACACACAGGCCCTGGGGAACCCAAAGGATCCAGAGGAGGGTCTGCTGTTGATTTCCTGGAAGCCACACAGCACTGACCAACCATCTGTCAGCACCTTCAGGCAACTCTGCTCCATGAAGCCTGTGTGAAGGCCTAGCGGCTTGGGCGGGTCTGAGGGTGGCCAGCCCTGAGGGGTTTTAGTTGCATGGAGACCTAGACCTCTGGGTTAAGGAGAGGAGCCTGGGCCATATCAGGACGGTGGGCCTGCATTTGGGGAGGACTCTCTTGGGGCTGCAGAGTGAAGAGCTGGCCTTTCCCAGGACCAGGCCAGGCCCCACCCCCATCAGGGCAGGCTGAGTTCTCAGACACCTGTCCAGCTCTTCCTGGAAGTCACACAAGGGCCACTGGCCACCTTCACTGGAACAACACTTGACAATTTACAACATATTTTGGCACAGATCTTCCTGGCTCTACCACTTCACTGGACAGCCTGTCTAACCTCAGTTTCCTTCCCTGTAAAATGTGACGCATCGTTCCTAACCCCTCCATAGAGCTGAGGAGATTGAAATGCTATCTCTGCAGAGCAGTACCTGGTACACGCTGGCTCTTCTGACTTCTGTTAGCTCTCACTGTCTGTTGTTGTCAGGTGCCATCGAGTGGAAACTGACTCATAGCGACCCCATGTACAGCAGAACGAAACAATGTCTGTACTGGCCACTATCAATTGGGCAGCGAGCCACATGGGGCCACTGAGCCTTGGAAATGTGACTAATGCAAGTTGAGTTGTGCTGTGAGTGTGAAATACACCCCAGATAAGAATAAAAGGAGACTATGTATCATAGTTCCTTTTTTTTTATTCCATGTTGAAATAATAACATTTTGGATAGATCAAGTTAGAGAAATAATAGTGTTAAAATTAACTTCACTTGTTTATTTTTTCCTTTTTATAACTTGACCGCTAGGAACTTGAATTACATATGTGGCTTGCATTCTATTTCCGTTGCTAGAGTTACTTAAAATCTTCCAGTGATGCAGAAATCACACATATCCATGATCTAAGAAAACTGAGGCTCAGGGAGGTTAGGTGACTTGTCCAAGGTCACACAGCTAAAAAGTGGCAGAGCTGGGCTTTGAAATCAAGTCTATGGCAGGGACTGAGCACCTCTAGAGGGCCACAATGTTGGCTCTGTTTGAGTTCAGTGTTTCCTGGCAGTCAGTTGCCGACCAAGGGCTGGACTCGCAGAGTCACTGGGACTGATGGGGACAGAAGTGACTGAAGTTGAGAATCCCCTCTGCTCCCACATTTGAATCGCTTTCTCCTGTTTCTTATTGCCTCTTGGCCCTGCCTCAGCCCAAAGGTCTCTTGGGGAGGTAGAGAAGGGAACTGTGGTTCTCAGGGAACAGCCCTAGTTGAGAGCTGCCCACCACCTCTTACCCACCCTTGCTCACCTTTTCTCCTCCGGCGGAGCACGAAGCTGCCAAGGACAGCCAGGCCTGTAGCCAGCAGAAGGGCCAGCAACACAAGGACTGGGGCCAAGATTCGGATCATCGGGATGGACACCCTGGGGGCGACATGGAAGGAGGCCAGTGGCTGTCTTTGGGATCTGAGGAAAAGGGCTGAGGAAATCAGTCCCTAGTGTGAAACCCAACTTAGCCCAGCAAAGATTTGCATGGCATTTGTTACTGATGGCATTCTTTTATTTAATTAGTGCAGACTCTGAAGCCAGCTACCCAGACTCCACTATATCCTTGGGCAAGTGGCTTAATTTTCCAGGGTGTCAGTTTCCCCCTCTGTAAAATGGGGATGATAATAAGTGCTCAACTACTAACTGAAAGTTTGGCTGTTCTAACCTACCCAGAGACACCTCAGAAGATGCCTCAGAAGCCCTGGTTATCTGCTTCTGAAAGGTCACATCCCTGAAAACCTTATAGAAGTGTTCTACTTTACACACAGAGGACCACCGTGAGTTGGAATCAATAACAAACAATGACAATAACACTTCAGAGGATTGTTGTGATAATTAAATGGCTTTGGATGTGCTTAGCACAGTGTCTGATGCAAGTAAAACTTGGTGCCAGTGTTAACAATTCATTTTCACCACCACTGTTAGTTAACTAGGTAGAGCTGGTCTGATTTCACACAGGAGAAACTGAGAACGGAAGAGGGTAAGAAGCACATCACACAGTTGGCATCTAAGCTTAGGGCAATGGTACACTGGGGCATCCTCACTGACTTTTACTAGTTGATATCATTGATTCTCTGGGCAACGTGACTTTTTTTTTTAACAATATTTTAATTGGATTTTTGGTGATAGTATATATAAGACGTTAGGTTCCCCTTTGACAATTTCCACATAATGTGTTCAGTAACATTAATTCCATGTATCACGAAGAGTCTACATTCTCTTTGTTCCCTTTCCTGTACTCTAATTTCTCTGTCCCCTTATCCTCTCATCTTTGCTTTTGAGTAATTACTGACCTTCTGGTTTCTGAGTAGGACACAGATCTTATGGTCATTGTCCTTTATTTGTGTACTGTCTGCTATTTCCCTAAATGATGATCGTAGGGGATAGGCTCAGGTCTAGGTTTCAAGATGATTATCTCAGGGACTCAGTGTCCTTTTTTTTTTTTTTTTTTTAACCTTTTATTGTGAATTGAGTGAAGGTTTACAAAGAAGATCATCAGCTTTATATTCAACAAATCATACACTCTGCTTCATCTCAATGATTACAATCCCCTCCAGGTAGCAACTGTTATCCTGTTTGCTTCCAGAGGTTCTTATTTGCATTTCACCACCTTCCTATCCCTTCTCAACTTTATCCTTAGGAAAATGTTGCCCTATTGATTTTTGTGTGTGTGTGTAAATTTTTTTTTAATTAAATAAATGTTTTGTTGTGTATTGTGTGATAGTTTACATGGGGGAACATTAGTTTTACATTCAGTGTCTTTTTTGTCTGGCCTAGTTTATTTTTTTAAAGAAGAATTTGAGCTCTGCTTCATATTTGTTCCCCATTTTATCCAGGAATCACTACTGTGACCTTGATCAGAATGGCCTCTGGTGGCAGTGGTGGCGGTGATGTGCTGCAGAGTCGGTTCCAATTCATAGTGACCCTGTATAGGGTTTCTGAGTCTGTAAATCTTCACAGGAGCAGAAAGCCTCATCTTTCTCCCGAGGAACGGTTGGTAAATGCGAACCGCTGACGTTGTTGTGAGCAGCTCAGCTCATCGACCATCGCTTCCTGGTGTGGCGCTGTGGGTTAATGCGCTGGACTGCAAAGTCGGTTTGAACTGCAAGGTCGGCAGTTCAAGCTCACCAACTGCTCCTCGAAAACCCTATACAGGGTCACTATGGGTCCGAACTGATGTGGCACTCAACAACAACAACACCAGAGCTCTTTGGTGGTCTGAGGGTTGATGAGGCTTCACTATGGTATTCTTATTCTGAGTTTCAGTCACATCCCTGCCTTTCTCAAGGACCTCAGAGGGCTGCTGGACATGTCATCTGGTCAGCCCATGTTTTGCCTGTCTGGTGTGGAATGGGACCCAGCTCCAATTGTTAACCCCGGGAGACACTTTCTGCTGGATCTGAACCTGCCAGCAGTTACCAGGGGATCAGTAACTGAATGTAATTACAACCCCTGAATTTGGGTTGGAAACTCCAGTTGGCTAAGACTGGTGTCTTTGTTTCTACTTTTCATATTTATTATTTTAAGTTCCATATTTTAATGCTTAGCACAGGGCTCAGTACAAAATATTGCGGTAAAAGCTATTGAACTGGGGTAGCTGGGCCAGGGAGAGGGACTAGAGCTATGGTTGGACCCTCCAACTTGATGAAGGGGGGCAGTGAATACAGGGCAACAGGGCTGCTGCTTTCTGTATTGTTCAGGTGGTTTATTGCTCAAGAGCCCTGTTATAGCAGAAGTGGGGGCTGAACTCCAGCTTGCCCTCTGAACCCTATGCTGGGGCTATGACAAGAGCCTATATCCACGAGAAAGAAGAGGCATCAGGTTCTTATTTACACAAAGTCACCTATGGTTTAGAGACCTTGGCCACTCACCTGGACTTGGAGCTACTGCTGCTGGGGTTGGGGCTGGTACCCTTTGCTGAGGTGAAGTCCAGCTGTGTGGCCAGGCGGGAGCTCCCTGCAGAAGGAGAGGTCGCTGTATGAGGAGTGGTCGCTGAGTAAGAAGAGGTCTCTTCATGAGGAGAGGCACTTGTGTATAGTGAGGGTCCTGCGTGTGCATGCAGGGAGGTGTCTGTGTATGGAGGGGCCTTGGCCCCTGTCTTCCCCTGCTTGGCTGTGGTGACTCTCAGCTGGAGATCAGGAGAAGCTATAAGTCCAAAAGCAATGCCTCAGCACCTTCCCTGACCCTTGAATCCCCACATTCCCAGACCTCTGACCTGTGACCCAAACTTGAGCCTCCCCAGGACCAATTTCTCAGAGCAGCCTCAGCTAAAGGACACACCCAGGAAGCAAGCACGGGCCTATGAAGCCAATTTGAAGAAGCAAATCCCGTATTAGGCACACCCCACTATGGTACATAAGCTTCCCCCTCTTTTTACACCTACAACCTGTTCTCTGTATGGGACATTGCGATCACACCGCTGGCCCATTCAGTGACCACTCATGTAGTCACCTTCCTTCCATCTCCTACAATTCTGCCCAATTGTCACCTCCTCCTTCATCAGAGAATATCCTAACACCTTCACCACCTAGACCTTGGCCTCCTTCACCAGCCACAGAGCTGGTCAGGACAGGGATGCAGGGGTGGATCCTGAGGTCAGAGCCTGAGCCTAGGCTTTCTGGGTGGGACAGACAGAGCATCAGCTTCATGGTCAGGCTGTGTCCACTTCTGGGGTGACCTGGAGTGAGGGACCCAACCCCACTGACCTCCTCCATTCTTTTCCTCAGCTGGACAATCCAGCTACCCAAACTTGTGACGGTAGGTGAGTAGCCACAAAGATAGGCCCTCACCAGATGTTTCTTGAAGAAGGGGTGAAGGAGGGACAGAAAACCATTCACTCACTCAATTCCATGGCCTGAGTTTGCCAAACTTTTGCTTTGGGCTGGAAGCTTGTAGCAAGAGGCTGTAAGGAGGATAGAGGGGAGGGAGGACAGCAGGGCCCTAGAGGAAAAGGAGAGTCTGGTCTCAGGGAAGCCCTGAACTGCTGCTTGGAACCCTTCCATGAAAGCAGGCAGCTCCCCGCCCCCAGCCCCCACCCACCAGCTCAGAGTGTTACTCATCTCCTCTCCTCAGCCAATCAGGAGCCAAGGGTGGTGGGTTCCAGCTGCTCCAAGGTCTTTCCCTCCTTGTACTTCCCCCCTGGCCTCCAGCTTCGTTCAGGCCTCCAGCTTCCCTTATACCACACTGCTCCCCAGCCCAAGCCTCCCATGCCATCCTGCACACCCATGTCAATTTTGTCTGTAAGATACCATGTATTGACTCTTGTTAATCCTTGATATAGAACAATCAATGGCTCTCCAGTGACTAGAAGATGACATTTGAACTCTTTAGCATGACTTTCAAGGCCTTGCAAACTCAGGTTTCATTTCACCCTGGCAACTTCACCTCCTTGCCTATCTGATCCTTCAGTCATTAAGAGCCGCCCTCCATTCCAATTAAGCAAGCCTCATGCCGGCCTCTATGCCTTGAGCATGCTGTTCCTCTGTGGACAATGCCTTTCCTGTTCTTTAGTATTCAGCTCAGGTGTCACTACCTCCCTACCCCACAACCTCCAACATCCTGTGCAAGCCTCCAGCAGAATTTATACTTGATTATGCTGCAATTACTTGTTTAATATAATGGACTTTGAAGAAAGATCTGCCAATCTGCTTCTGAAACCCAGTCAATGAAAACGAGATCTGCAACCGAACCTGGGCGTGGAGCAGGCCACTGGGCATGTTCTGTGGTGCAGGAAGTTACCATGAGTTGGGGCTGATTTGATGCCAGCTATTAACAACTTGTTTACTGGGTCTCCCCCACTAAGCTGGGACTTACCAAAGCCAAAAGACCTACTTTCTGTGTCCAACGCAGTGGACAAAACCTGTTGACCAAACTCCCGAAGCCACTGAGGTCCCCTAGCTTCTCCACCTCCCCAGTCTGTTTTGTCTTACATTCTACTTGGATTTCCCCTCTTTCTCCACCATTCTCTGTTCCAGTACTTGTTGTTGTTGTTGTTAAGTGCCATCGAGTCGGGTCCGACCCATAGCGACCCTGTACAGGGTTTCCGAGGGTGTAAATCTTTACGGGAGTAGAAAGCCTCATCTTTCTCCCGCGGAGCGGCTGGTAGTTTCGAACCGCTGACCTTAAGGTTCGCAGCCCGATTCGTAACCACTACGCTACCAGAGCTCCTTAGGATGATAATATGATACTATAAATTACTTGTGTATATGCCACATACCTGGTGTGGCGCTGTGGGGTAATGCACTGGACCACGAAGTGGGTTTGAACTGCAAGGTTTCCCATGACTAGTTGCAGATTGTATCACTGTGATCATAAGATTTTCATTAGCTGATTTTGGAAGCAGATTGCCAGGCCTTTCTTCCTAGTCTGTTGTAGTCTGGAAGCTCCACTCAAACTTGATCAGCATCATGGCAATATGCAAAACTCCACAGAAAGATGGATGGAAGCTGTGTTTGCATATTGGCCAGGAATCAAATCCAGGTGTACCTCACAGAAGGCAAAAATGCTACCACTAACCATCAGGGCATACCTCTACCATTATGCAGTCTCCTTCATTTTCAATATCCCCAAGGTCACTAGAAGGAGCTCTGGTAGTGCAGTGGTTACGAATCGGGCTGCTAACCTCAGGGTCAGCAGTTCAAAACTACCAGCAGTTCCGCTGGAGAAAGATGAGACTTTCTGCTCCTGTAAAGATTTACAGCCTCGGAAACCCTGTACAGGGTTGATTTGAGTCCGTACCGACTCCATGGGATACAACAACAACAACAACAACTAGAGAGAGGCTAGCAAGTTCTGATGTAGGATGATAATATGATACTATAAATTATTTGTATATATGCCACATACCTGGTGTGGCGCTGTGGGGTAATGCACAAGGTGGGTTTAAACTGCAAGGTTGGCAGTTCAAATTCACCAGCCGCTCTTGGGAAACCCTAAACAGGGTTGCTGCGAGTCGAAGTCTACTTGACGGCACTTAACAGCAATAACACATGCCGTATACAACACACGTCGTATACAACACATGCCGTATACAACACATGTCGTATACAACACATGCCGTATACAACACATGTCGTATACAACACATGCCATATACAACACATGCCGTATACAATACATGTTGTATACAAACAAATAATTACAAACAAGAGTAAGAGTTAAAGACATAAATAAGGAGAGCCTAAATGAGGTAAAATTGATCACAACTAGCTACAAATGGTGTTTAGGTGATGTAAACTGTTAATATGCTTGGCTGTTAACTGAAAGACTAGAATTTCTCATCTACCCGTAGACACTTTAGAAGAAAGGACTGGCGATTTACTTCTGACCAATCAGTCATTGAAAACCTGGCAGATCACACTTCTACTCTGACACACGTGAGATTTAGGTTAAAATGAGGTTTGGATACAGATAAAAAGGGATTAGAGCACTGGACTGCTAACTGAAAGGTCAGTGGTTCAAACCCACTGACCTTGGAAACCCTACACAGGGTCACTATGTCACTGACTTGACAGCACTTAACAACATGATTATTTGATGAATTTAAATTTATTTCTCTGAATTAAAATCAGGCCCCATGGCTGATGGATCTGGTGGTGGAGATGGGCACTCATCATGAGAACAAAGAAGACTCCAAAACCAGAAATGATCTGCCTTTGAATCCTGGTTCCACCAGTCCCTGCTGTTAGACCTCTTGGAGCTTCAGCCCCTATCTGGGAAACAGGGATACAAAACCCTACTTTGCCCCTCCTATCTGACAGACTGGGTCTGCCCACTCCCTGGGCCCTCTCTGGCTTCCTTCTACTCAGCAAACCCAATGGGTTTCTGGTCACCTAGAGAGGTGCTCCACCCCCTGCCTCCACCCCTGGCTCCAACCTTAGCTCTTGAGAGTCCCCTAATCCAACAAACCCACCTGTCTGTCAGTTTGTCATTCTGTGGAGGCTTACATGTTTCTGTGAGGCTGAAGCTATACCACCAGTATTTCAGACACCAGCAGGGGCAGAGCTTTCAGACTAAGATGAACAAGGAAGAAAGGTCTCGATCTGCTTCTGAAAATGAGTCCCTGATAACGTTATGGATCACAACAGAACATTGCCCAGCCTGCTTGCTTTGGAGACACCATCAGATGTGACCAATCACTGGAGGAGAATGTCAGGTGTGGTGAAGTCGAGGATGAGGGAGACCTTCACTGACACTGACTGGTACGAGGGTTGCAATGATGGCTTCAAGCATGCCATTATTGGTGAGGATGATGCAGGACCAGATGGATGTTTTGTTCTACAAAAAGTGTGATGCTGTAGGGTCAGTACTGTACTGAGGACTACAGGGTCGGCAGTTCAAACCCACCAGATGCTCCTTGGAAACCCTATATGGGGTTCTATGAGTTGGAACCAACTTGATGGCACCAAGATTCCTATAAGCTGACTAGGTGACTAACTATCTATCTTATCTATCATCTACCTACCTACCGATCCATCTACCCACCCATTCATCCATCCATTCATCTATTCATCCAGAAGATGCTTCCCAGGCTTCCCCAGCACCTGCCCTGAGACTTTAGATCTGGGAGAGGGGAGGCTGAGAGGAGAACTGAGGTCATCAGGAGGATGAGGCCAGTGTGACCATGACTTGGTTGGAGTGAGTCTGGGATGTCCTCAGGCATACATGATTCTAGGGAAGCAGTATTTTTTTTTTTTTTTTTTTAATATTTCCCTGGGATGTCCATCTTGTTCCCAACCCATGGAATTCTTCCTCCCATTCATCTGGGCAGAGAGAAAAGGCACTATAGGTGGAGTTGGACAGATGTTGATTTGATTCAGTGTGACCTTGGGCAGCAGGAACGAAAGAACAGCTAGGATTTCTGCGGCACCATCTGCCCCGGATGCTGTGAGCACTTGGCCGGCCTGATCTTGTGGTGTCTTCCAGACACCTAGCGAGTTTGGCTGGAAACAGGATTTACCTCTGATGACCTGTGCCCCCTTCTTATGCTTCCTACTCCCTGCCCCAGCAAGGAATTTGAGACATGTGTTACCTGGAAAGATGATCAGAGAGACGAGGAAAGTTTTATCGAAGCCCAGTATTCTAATTCCACACCAGTACTCTCCTTCATCCTCCCGGGTGAGGTCCCTCAGGGTCACTGTGAATGCCAGCTCCTGGCGATTGTCTCGGATGGACACCCGGCCTGACACCACCTCCTGGCCATCTTCTCCCGAGTAAATGGTGTCAGAACAGGGGAAGAGGAGCCACCTTTTCTTCCTGCACCAATATTTCTGGCGCTCCTTCAGTTCCTTCTCATAGGAGCACCGTACAGATATGGTGTCGCCTTCAAACCCGCTGATCTCCTTCGGGCCCTTCAGGGCTCTGGATCCTGAAACCAGAGTGGGGTGGGTGGGGGGATGGAGGTTGGAACCTGCTTGATCCAAGTCGCAGATGTCCTCACTTCACTGGGAGGAAGGCAGGTTTTTCTCAGTCACCCCCTTCTAGGGACAGCCTTGTGAACCAGGACACCTCCTCCTAGGACTGTTGCTGTTTTCCTATACCTGGCATATTGAAGGCAGGCAGAGTCTAGATTCAGACAGATGGACATTTGAATCTCTCAGCCCTGCCACTTAGAAGCTGTGTGACCTTGGGAAGTTGCTTGAACTCTCTGGGACTCTGTGTTTTCTCATCTATAGATGATGGTGATATACGGTTTTACTGAATTTAAGATGTACCTATAGGATCAGCACTGGACTATAAGGTCAGTGGTTCAAACTCAACAGCTGCTCCTTGGAAACCCTATACAGGGTTGCTATGAGTCAGAACCGACTCGATGGCACTTAACAACAACAACAACAGTATGTATAACACACCGTAATCTTATGTACTAATAAAAAAGAATACTGAAGAGATAGAACACTTGGCATTTGTAAAGTGGGTCCTGCTTTTGTATCTTAAAAGGTAAAAAAGCAAATAAACCACCAAATCAAAAAAAGTAAGCCTGTGAATTGATGAAATGAACTAATTCTTTAGCTCTCAGTGGTTCAATACACGTTTACTGAGTTTATGGACATCCATAGGAGTGCCTTTCTGCCTCAAGGTTTGGCACAGAGTAGGGAGAGTAGCTACTCTTGTCTGTCAGTTTGTCGTACTGTGGTGGCTTCCATGCTGCTGGGATACTGGAAGCTGTATCACCGCTATTTGAAATACCAGCAGGGTCAGCCATGGTGGATGGTTTTCAGTAGCGCTCCAGACTAAGGCAGACTAGGAAGAAGGAGAGGCAGACCACTTCTGAATGGTTAGCCATTGAAAACCTTATGAATAGCATTGTCAGATCTATGAATAAACCTTATAAATAGACCATTGTCAGATATAGTGCCAGAAGATGAGCTCCTCAGGATAGAAGACACTCAAAGTATGACTGGGAAGAGATATCTCCTCAGAGAAGATTTGGCCACAATTATGGACTGGAAGAAAGCTTTCAGGACCTTCAGTTGCTGATGGATTATAACTCAGAATGAGGAGAAATAGCTGCAAACATGCCAAGCACACCAATGATTGTGAGGGTGGCACAGGACCAGACAGTGTTTCGTTCTGTCATGCGCAGGGTCGCTATGAGTTGGAACTGACTCAATGGCATCTCACAACACCAGGGAGACTAGAAGGAACAGCCGCTCTAGGAGTCATAGGGAAAAGCTGGGTTCTCCCCAGGACAGGTCCTGGGTTCTAGAAGCAGCAAGTTTGGGGCCCCCTCTAAGGCTGAGGAAGCTAAGCACGGGAGCTGTGGGTTGAGAACAGGAAACATGGACATGCACTTGGGGGGAAGGAAATACAGGTCCAGAAGCCCTCTGGGGAGGGGGAGGGTCTGAGGCCACCATCCTTCCCATAGCCCACCCCATCTCACCTGGGAGCAGGAGGCAACTCCACAGCAGGAGGACCCGCATTGTGGGCTCTGGGCACTGTAGGTCAGATGCTGGCAAGTGTGACCTCACTCTCTGCTGTTGATTTGATTTCCTTCAGATACAGTTCCACGAAGGGAGGGAAGGGGAAGGGAGGGGCGGGGCCGTGATCTTCCGGGCCTGATCCCTCAGAAATATTTCTCCTCGTCTCTGGATGGAAACCTTAAATCCTTCAGGGAACTTTAACATGTGGCCCAGGCACTCCAAGGCGACCGTGAGGAGAATTCAGGGAGTCCATGAATATGGATTTTAAACAATTTTGTTTTTACCTTTACCAACCTCTGAAATTTGGAGTCTCTGGGTGATGCAAACATTAATGTGTTTGACTGAAATGTTGGAGGTTAGAGTTTATCGAAAGGGACTTTGGAAGAAAGGCCTGGTGATCTACTTTTGAAAACCCAGTTGTTGAAAACCCTCTGGAGCAGAGTTCTACTCTGACACATATGGGGTTGCCATTTGGAGTCAGTCCATGGCAACTAGTGACACTGAGCTGTTTATTCTGAGGGTAGTGTAGGCAGTGCCTGTGATGTTGTCACCAATAAAAACAGTCCATATCACTTCAAAGGAGCTTTGGCAGCATAGTGGTTACGAACCGGGCTGCTAACCTCAGGGATAGCAGTTCAAAACTACCAGCTGTTCCACTGGAGAAAGATGAGGCTTTCTGCTCCCATAAAGATTTACAACCTCGGAAACCCTGTACAGGATCGCTGTGAGTTGGAATCGACTCCACGGCACATCACCACCACCACCACCACCACTTCAAGTTGTTGCTGCTCTCGCCAATACTTACATCATGGGAAATCACTGTAACTATTAGACCTGCCCTAGAGCTGATTGTGTAGCAGTGATTACACACTCAGCTGCGAACTGAAAGGTTGGCAGTTCAAGCTGTACCTTGTCTTAGTCCCTCCCAGCTTGGTGTGAAGCTTCTCCCCTAAATCTAGAGGCTCCAGGGGAGAAAGACCTGTTGCAGACCGTGTAAAACAGGTCAGAAGTTCGAGGCCCACTGGGCCCGAGTGGTGCAGACTATACAGGCCACAGGCTCTGAGGAACAAATTCTGGCCACTGGCAGTCATGGCAAATTGTTTTTCATCTTAGTGTTCAGTTATGTTTTTTATTAATTCCAAACATGAGCACTTAGTATCCACAGATAAATGTAATATTTTCCTAAAGCCAAGACTGTAAAGGTTTCAAGGTTAAGCCTTTCTCCAAAGGATTAACTGAAAATAGTTTAGCGACTTCCCGGTTCTTTGTTCTATAGACAAAAAAGCCATCTTCCCTAAATCTGTCCCAGGTGCTGGTTATTCAGCCAAGTTCCTGAAAACCTGGCTCAGGAAGCCAAAACAGCGGGACTCCTCCCAAGCCTTTTGTCCTTCCCTTTCACCTTCCCCCAACTGAGCTCAGGGGCTATAGAT